GTATGTAAGGGTGTAGTGGTTAATTAATCTAATTATAAATTTAGTTAAAAATAAATTTACCAGTTGCAATGGCTTGAGTTATAATAGGTCTATTTAATAAATGATATTTGTACCAAGAAACAAAACCTGCCATTTTCTTTTTTGATTTTCGTTATATAAAGGGTAAAATCGGAAATAATTTTTTTATACCATAATTGTATTACTGAATATCTTATTAGCTTTATATATATATGTGAACCCTGTAAACATTTTCTTTCAATGATATTCCTGTATTTCCGATTGGTCTAGATTGATTAAAGTTTTTTTAATGGTAAATATTCCAGTATTGTGAAAATTTAACGATTAGTCCTTTAAGTAAAAGTATGTATGTAATTTAAATTAATTAGTATGAATTAATCAGACCACTAAAAACATTAAAAATTTTTTGGTAAAAAATAACAAGTAAATTCCTGTTAATCTTCACTTTTTAACAATAAAAAAATTTTTTTTTTTTTTTTTTTTTTAAAAAGGAAAATTTTGAATTTTGAATAAAAATACGGTTACAGCATTCGAATTACATGAATTTCCCGTAACACATATCACGTTTGTTTCAAGTTTATAATTTTTACCATATTACGTACAGTATTATCACACGAATTACATTACTTGACTCGCATAAAAATATCACGTTTGTTTCAAGTTATGCACCAGTATTACGTATTAAAACACACACGAATTACCGTTACGTACTCGTATTACGCAATACCAATTACGTATAAAGTATTGGAGGTCCCTTTTGCAACATTCTCATAATTAATAACGATAAGTCGCATCCTCTTCAAGCAAACATTAATTTTTAATTGTTGGCGGAGTTATAATAATATCCTATTATATCTTCACGTCGTGGAACAGAAGAATAGTTAATATAAAAATACGCCACAATAATAAATGATGAAAGAAAGTAAATAAAAGGAAACGATTTTCTAAAATTTCAAAATATAAAAGTTGTGCACCATATCGCCATCACAATTATCACCAATTCACAGGAAGAAAAGGGAATACATTGACTTATGTATCATACAAAATTCTATTATAAAAAAGTCCGTGTAACGATCATGTATATGGCGAATACGTACCGATCAAAAATATTTGAATAACATGTTTTCAAGTTTTAAGTCTTACAACGTTATAATAGTTTTTTTATTTTTTTTCTATATTTTGTGTCAAAATTTTTTTTTAAAAAAAGACTTTAATACAGTATTTACTGAAAAATCATAAAAAATCATGGGATGCTTTATTTCAAAAAATAATCTAAAACCAAAAATTATCGTTACACATAACAATCCGACAATTTCAATAAAAATATCTGAGAAGGAAATTGTTTGTAAAAAAGAAACTGCTGAAATGGACCAAGTTAGTAGTTTAAGCAGTGATTCGAATACTATAGGACATATCGAAGATGAAAAAGATATGCTTCCATTTCCAGAAAAAGATTACGGTGGAGATAGATTAGCTTTACAACATCATCTATTTAAATATATTTGGCAAAGCAACTTTTCAGCTCCTGTTGATGATAAATTGAACTCTGGTGCAAAAGTATTGGATTTTGGGTAATTATCTTAAAACTTTTACAATTATATTATTAGTAAATGTTGTCAAAAAATTTCACATATTTTTAAATTTTGAATTTAAATTTCGAATTTGAATTTCGAATTTAATTATTACCGATACGATTTAATATATAATTCTCATT